GGTCGTTCACCAACTCGCCATCCAGGTACACATTCAAATTGTCATCACCAGTTACCCACATTTCTTTGTAAAATTATTTACTAACAACTTAATGAATTGTTGATAGTTAATAAGCGTTAATTTAATCAACAAAATATTATGAAAAATTATTCAAAAATATAAAACAAATTAATTTAAAAAATGTCCCACTCACCATTCAATTTAAAGTTCGTCGCGCAATAGATATCTTTCACTTTCTGACCTCCTTCGTGCCATATGGACGCTGCCGAGAACTTGCTAACAAGACTGAAGTTCATATTCATGAGAGAACTCTTGTAACTATTTTCATCAACACTGCTTCCAATCCTACCGCTATCTATCTCAAGAGCCAATGGCCAGTCGCTAAAGTCGTAATCCACTCTGTGCCAAGTTTTCGTCGGTTTTTTATCGATGCAACGCCAATTGATCGAGTCGGTTATGACGTCATTGTTGGGCGACCACAGAACAATTCCAGGTGCGCTGTTACTGACGCTGGCGTGAATCGAGAGAGTTTCGGTCCAGTCGAATACGTCCTCGGTATCGATGAAGCCCAACTTGGGCAGTGGGGACATGGTTCGCGGCTCACCGTCCACGTAGAAATCTGCCCTCTCTGCTACTGTTACTGCTATTTCTGCGGTGTATAAGATGGGCGGTTGGTCAATATTTGGACAGGGTTGTATGTGCTGATGTGCTACTGCTGGTGGTGGTTTCGTTATTATTTTCTATTGCTTTGATTGCATTGAATGTAGTTTTAAATGTTATTCTACAGTTCTAAGAATGATAATATTCAATAAACACGATACCTAATCCTTACTTAAAATGGTAATCATTCAAAAACTTTGAAACAAACGAACGTGTGTATTTGATATCTAATCTGCAAAACAAATTCTCTTCAGTTTTCGCGTGGGCCTCTCTTGAACCGATCCAAACCGCCTTGCTAGGAATATCCGGAATATAAGGAAGAACATTCTCGGTAGTCTCGGATCTTTTCAGAACACGCTGTACTCTACCTATGTCCAAATCAGTGTTGAACTGTTTTAAGTCGGTTCTTTTTTGGTTGCTCGCTTCGATTTTTGAACGTTGCATGTCTGATTTGAGTGTTTCAGCAAGAAGCCAGTATTTCGATTCGTTTGAATAATCAAGCGAATACCAGTTCGAATATTCGACTTGATTGGAACATCTCCATTTTTTATGGTCAGTACTACATTAAAATAACATAAATTTAAAGAAATATCAAATAAGAAATTAAAATTAGTTGAAAATAGAAAGCAAACGAACTTAAAAATCTCGTTATTTTTAGAAAACACGAGTAGAGCGGGAGTTTCCTTAGCGTCAGTTTTATCCAATTCAACGCTGGCGGCCATAGATTTGATAGGATTTGCAAAGGAAATCGTATGACTGGCTCGGTAGTTCGTGTGGTTGTAATGCTGCAACTTTCCGTCAATGTAAAATTTCAATTGGCCGTTTGAGGCTATCTGCACGACTGTTAAGTTGGTTGGTTGGTAGGTTGGTTGGTTGATTGGTTGGTTGGTTAATCGGTTAGTTAATTGATTGATTGATTTGTTGGTTGATTTATTGTTTAAAAATGAGTTTTGACTCAAAAACTAAGAACAAAGTAAAATCGATCAAAAAGAAAAAGCTGATACACGGACCTGTAATATTCAACTGTAAATAGCAATACGCCTCTCCCGGCTCTCTAAAGTCCGAACCCCACCTCCAAATCCACTCAGCGTTGGCGGAAATCCCATTGACGGGCCCGGACCACAAATTGTTCACTCCGTTAAAATCCTTATTTGCTCCCACTTTTATAGCTCTCGGGATATTTGTTAGAATTATATTCTGAATAGCGGATGGATTAATGAGTGAGCGGATTAAAAGGTGACCTATGATAAAATGATGAAGACATAATAAAATGGATGGATGGATTGTATAAATAATTAATAGCATAGAAGAACAAACAAATTATGACGTCATACCTGGCTGAACCAATCAGGACTCGAGGTGAGAGTGCACCTCCAACGTTCATCGGTCAGATATCTGGAGTCGGATGATGAGGCTATCAACCCTCCTATGCCTTTCCTGTTGACTGGCGATGATGGTGATGATGACGTTGGTGATAATGGTGATGATGACGTTGGTGATGATGGTGATGATGACGTTGGTGATGATGGTGATGATGACGTTGGTGATGATGGCGATAAGATGATGATGGCGACAATAAGGATGATAAATATGACGATAATATTGATCAATTTACACTCACACAATGCAGATCTAAGACCCATCACTAACTTATGTGCACTGAAATCAGGCGACTGTTTTCAGGAACCGGAACTCTATCCGCCATGTTCCATTCTTTGTTGTTTAGTAGCCGCTGTTGTACGCCATCTATGTACAGTTGAAACTCGTCGTTGGCACTTATTGATATGGCTGGATGCGTGAAAATTTAACAATTCATAAATGAAAGAAATTGTTTTTCTGGTTCTCTTTTTTCCAATTTATTTACATTTTTTAGTGATTGTAATTATAGTTATAATTATGAAAATTATCAATATATTTATAATTGAGAATCTCACTGTTGTATTCCACGTCCAGCCTGCAGTACATGGCATCAGCGTCCAGCTTTTCAACTCCTATCCACAAACTATCTGCCGAAATCCTGATCACATTCAGGAAAGGGTCAGTTCCATTCTCGAAAAGTTTTTTGGGTCCTAAACTTTTGGCTTGGGGCATGTATTTGTCGTAAAATGTCGACTGAGTCCAGTTATCACCTGGCAACTTTGCGGAACAACGCCATCTTTTATTTAGAAAAAAATTTTGTAGGAAGAAAATTACGAGAAATTATGTTTTAGATAATATTAAATATGTCGCAACCAACAACAGAGAAAAAAGATCTTTTTTAGTTTTATAAGCAAAATAATTAGTTATTCATTCTATTTAAATGATTCCTACATCTCCAAATTCAATGATTCGTAAATTATTAGAAACCTTTGTGAGGTATCGTAGAGACCACTTGAAGACCAAACGTTGAGGGCAACTCGCGATCCGTTCAACATGTGTACCTCTGCAGCTAGCACTTTGACATTGTGCGGGATTTTAAACTGATGGTTTTGCGGTTTGTCGGTTAACTTTAAATCAAATTTTCCTGTTTCTAAATCAAGGCAGAATGAAAATAAGACAGAATTCGAGGTAAAAACTTTGAAAATCAACTCAAAAAATTCATCAAAATTATTTTTGAAACCTAAACTAAGTAACTTACCGTATCGACTTCGCTCCATGTTGCCCTGTTCTCCAAATTTGGGACCTCCACGCCATCTAGAAACATTTTTAGTTCTCCGTCTGCACTAACTGTGATGTCTGGTTGGTTTATTTCGGCGCAGTTTGTAAATTTGTGGTAATTTTTTGGTTACTTGAACTAAGTATGCGTGATTTTTTGTTAAAGTTTAAGTTAATTAAAGTCGTGTTGGGTGAATGATTTAGTATAATTTTAGCCTAACCGTCAGATATTTTATCAGAATTTATTTCATCGTCGTCATCGTCGTCGTCTTCCTCACTTCTCTTCTGCCATTTTGAGTTGTGATTTTCTTTGTGGTGTTAAAAATAATTCGTATTTTAGATGATGAAGAAGATGGCGATAAATTTATGAATCTCAATTCACGCTTCTACATCATCTACCTACGTATCCGTGTAGTTTCGTGTTTACTAGCATAGTATTCTGAACTTAATTATTCGTCAATCTATCCAGTTGAATCATTTATCCATTTTTAATTCATCCATTCATTCGTCCGGTCACTCATTCACTAATTCATTCATCCATTCATTCATCCATTCATCAATCATAACCAACCAGTACCATCATTAGCACTAGAATAGTTATTTAACAAAATGCCTGGTAGTATAAAAACTAAAATACAAAAGCATTTTAATGGTATTGTTAATACTATTTTTGACATTTTATCATAATTATTTTAATAATTGTTTATTTATTTGTTTATATTATTATTTACACTTGGATCAACAGATCGCATAGTGACTCGAAGTTAAATACACACAAATACGATATTATTGTTATTTGTTTACAAAACGAATTTGTAAACAATGACGTCACCGTGGTAAAGTAGTGAAGTAAAAGTTAACTAGTTTTCTGTTAACCATTTTTTACCAGTGAAAAAGGATGGTGCACGATTGAATAATTAGTAAACTTTCATTGATGTAATTGTCATCCGCTCAATCTATCAACCAACTGAACCTTCATTCATTTATTTTTCTTACATTCATTCATTCACTTTATTCATTCACTCATTCATTCACCCACTTATTAATTCATTCGTTCTTTCTTTCATTCATTCGTTCTTTCATTCATTCGTTCAAACATCTTCACACGTACAAGACAAATATTTCAAGATTTTAACTTACTATAAATCAATTTATTTTTTAGCAAAGTAAGACACGCAGCCTTAAAATTAACGACAAACAACGAGAGGTTATAAAAAAATAAAAAAATACAAAAATACAAAACTTAAAATATTAAATCAAAAATGAAATTAAAATACATTCTACCAAACACGTCGGTCAAATTCAACAAGTATGCAGATATGTGCATATAAATTTATGAAATGTAAGCCGAATGAATTGTTAAATTGATTTGCTGTCAAATCACATCTTAGCACTGTTTTAACCTGTTCACACGGAGCAAAGTTAACAAGTGAAATAAATTTAGTTGACGAATTTAGAGAGATGCTTCAATTGATGATATTAATCCACTTTTTTAAATCCACGCATACGATGCCAAATTGAAAATTTTTTTTTCTCATTTTTATTCGCGTAGATGAATGAAATTCAAAAACTTACGAAAGTGGAAGTAAATAAACTACTGCAGAAATATGAAAAATAATTAAAAAAAAAATAACATCAACAACGAAGAAATCATTAGAGACCGAAAGAGAGTTGTTAATACAAGACCAGCGACAAAAAGAAAATAATTACACTTCAGTCAGTTCTTCCATGAACTCCTCATTCCACGTTTTCGGCCCACCCCCGCCACCACCTTTCTTTTCCTCCTTCTTCTCGTCACCCAACTTCTTCACCAGATCCTCATCGTCGTCATCCTTCCCGCCGTAATCGTAGCCGTACATGAAGCCACCCCCGTATTCGTTTTTGTTGTCGATCTCAGTCAGGGCGCCGTTCACTTCACCGAGCAGTTTAAACATCTCCTCAGTCTCCTCTGTCAGGACCCTCTCGCTGTTCGAGACTTTTCTGAGAGAAGCTTTCAGTTGTTCGTTTTTACGCTTCAGATCCTCTATGCTCGATTTCTCGCCGAAATTTCTTACTCTCCTTTTTAAACTGTTGCCGTTTGTGCCGGTGTTCTCAGTGGCCGGCGATCTCTTTACTAATTTTCTGGCAGGCTCATCTGGATGAGGATCAAGGTGTTAAAAACCACTTTTAAATGATTAATCTGCCGAAAATTTATTGATTAACTCGAGTATTCTAGATTTTCTTTATTAACATTAAAATCAACCTCTGACGCAACAAAGATAACCTCGCTTGAAAAACATCCTACACAACACAACACAACAGACACAACAGACACAACACAACAGACACAACACAACACAACAGACACAACACAACAGACACAACACAACAGACACAACACAACACAACAGACAAATGCATAAACAGGTTCTTGTACAACAACACAGCGGCCAACCATTTTCAACGACGACTTTCTTCCTCTTGTGAGTATGCGTCACCTTCTTCTTCTTACCCAACAACTTTCGAGCTGTGTGTTCATTTGTTTTAAAATTCATCATCACCATTCTCATCGGCATCTTAGTTACTAACGCTTATTGATAGCTATAATCGATAACACACACTAACAAACACACACAAACACAACACACACACTATCAAACACACACACACACAACACACACACTATCAAACACACACAAACACAACACACACACTATCAAACACACACACACAGTTGAACTAACGTATGAGATATCTACAGTACATCTGCTTGCTCCACGGGTGCTCTCCACTCCAGATGAACGAATTCGGAACGCCGTCATCGTTATCAACACTGTGATGATTGCCATCGTTATCAGGACGAGCGCGATTTATCCTCTCCATCTTGTAGAGCGTGGCCTCCTTCCACATCTTGTCGTTGAAATGAATCGTCTGCCAGGGCTCTGAAGCCCCGCCCCTCGTGGACCCCACTACGTCGGCGCATTTCCAATCACTAACCAGTCCTTCCTTCACCTTACTGACCGCGTATTCGTTCTCTTTGATTCTGTCGACATCTTTACTACCTCCACTCTCCATACCATCCGATGGATTCAACTGAGAAACGTTCTCGAAGAAGGCCGCTGGTTTGTGCGGAACTGACGACGGCAGAGTTGAGATGCTGCCATCTTCCGACTCCACGTACAGGCCAAAGAATGTATTCCACAGACTCGATCTTTCCAGAGGGTTCGATAGTGGCTCTGTTCAGTTTATTTTTATAAAATAGACATGTAAGAAAAATATTTAGTTTAACTAGCGACTAATCTATGCATTCATTCGTCATTCTAGCTAACTCATCCAGCTATTTACTCTTTGCATCGGCAAGACGACTGACCTCTATCCGACATCAGGCTCCTGTCCACGTGGATGGCCAAGACGTCGGCCTCATTATCGATCTCCACCTCGAGCACGTTTATGTTGAAGAGAGACTGCAGAATCCTCTTCTTTATGGTCTCGCGACAGTGGTAGTCGCACCTCGCTGCTCCGTGTCGGCGAAATTGATGACGTAAGTTGACAGCTTCTGCTAGCTGCTTAGCTACACTTCTCTTTATGCGACCAGCTGCTGTAGCTGTTGAGATAGATGCAGCCAGTGATAATGGGCTGAGTTGAGATTTCAATAAGTTTTCACTGATTTTTAACTCTTCCTCATTTTTAACGTTGTTGTTGTTGTTGTTATTGTTGGTATTGAGGTTATTTTTGTTGTTGTTGTTATCAAACTGTTTCATTTCAGCAGTAATTTGATCGTTTGAGTGACTGGTTTTAATGGGAAGCATGAGTGTGTTCGTGTGGTCAGGTGTCCTACCAAGCCAGGCCCCGTCTTGGAAGGCCTTTATGGAACCCCTGGCAACTATTCTCAACTCTGATTTTGTGTTGAGGTAGTTAGTTAATGGGTAATGTAGCGAATCTTATCGATCAATTAATTTGAGTGACCATCGGCGTAAGAGAAGAAAATTTTATTCTTGTGATGATAAATTTAATCGTCAAACAAGAGATGCGAAAAAATAGTAATGGTATGATAAAATAAGATCACTTGTTTTTCCGCGACTGACTCGGTACTTCATTGGGTCGAACAGGGCTCTCTTCAGATCAGGATAGTTCTCTAATTAGTATTCATTGTACGTTTAATGTAACAAAAATGCATTCTATTCGCGAAAATAAATGATTATAACAGTAAAAATATTTCTCACTAATGACTAATTTGCAGTTAAAATCAGTAGGAAGTTCCTTATTGTTACTCCTCTTCTTTCTCTTCCTGCTTTTGCCGTCAACTGCGTCAGTAACGGGTCGAATAACCTTGGCATCCATCGAGATATTTAGATTTTCACTAATCAGTTTCGGATCGTGTGAGGCCGCCAAACACTCGGCAGGCTTGTAATTGGGTGAGGCAACGTCACCCTTTTCACCCTTCGGGGACTTTGAAAGACACTGCCACCTATGTCGTATGAATAAAGTCTATCATTAATCTACAGCAATAACTTCAGATGCGCCTCATATATTTGAAGAAATTAGCACATCAGACCAACAGAATAAAACGATAACTCGAAATTTGATCAAACATAATGGAACCTGTCATCCGTAATGATCAATCCGTCAGTGGTGGAAGCAAGTATCCCAAAATCCTCCGGGATTGAGTTCCTCACCTCGATCTCCACCACGTCTGCTTCATTGTCGAAACGAGCTGCACTAACACGGGAATGTACCTTGGTGGTGTCGACTTTCACACCGTCATAAAGTACCCTGACATCTCCACTACTCCGTATGTACATATCTTTCGATTGGGGAGAAATTATTATAACGTGGTACCAATTTTCGCTAACAACCGCAAATATATCATCGATAAACTGATCGTTCAATGCGGTTTTTATTTAAAAGTTCCTAATAATACAATATAGAAAATTGATATAGATTTACTAGAGAACATCAAAAACGCCTCAAAAACGTCGAAACAATTGAATTTTTAATGAAATTATGACGAACCTGAAACTCTGGCAGTAGTAAATTTGCAGCATACTGCTGAAATTATGACAATTAAATTTATTAAAACCATTTAATTCATTGAAAGTAAAAAACTTCTCAAACAAACAAAAACCGTTGAGTTTAAAAACGTAAAATTTTGAATACGCAATATTACGTATACAGAAGAGACCAAATAAATGCATTTAATTGCACTAAAAACATGCGATTTTCTCAAAATTAACTTACATTAATTTAATTTTTGTACCAAAAATGTGCAATATTCAATGTTCCTCGTCTTCATCATGCTCCATTTGGTGAACAAATATGAAATAATGCTTCTCAAAAAGTTATAACTTAAATTTACTTTTCACCAAATTTTGCGGGAGACACAAAGTTATGTTGTTGATTTGTAATCGCGAAACATTTTTTACACAAAAATCAAAACTTTTAATTGTATTAAAAATTATTTACTTTTGTTTAAATTATTCGTCGACATTCACAATCGGCTAGCGAATAGTGATAAAAATGGCGACAAAAACTTCCACGAGAATGTCAGCGGAATTGCAGGCAACCTGTGCTTCTCTGGGCTACTCTGATGAAGATGGTCACTATCAAAGAGAACCGGACTGTCTCGGTAAGTTTGATTAAACCTTATTTAATAATTATTCAAAGATCTGATTATTAAATGATACCCAATTAAATTAATTATCCCCACTCATTCCTCACCCAGAATCAATAAAAGATCTAATTCGTTTTTTGAAGCGTGACGATGAGACATGCAGTATCAGACGACAACTTGGTTCGGCGGCCATCTTGCAGAATGATCTGATACCAATCCTGAAACTAATTGGTTCCAACTTGTCAGAAATAAAGCAACAATTAGAAGAAAGCTCATCTCACTTCAGCGAATTAGGAGATGATGGGGAAGTCAGAACTCAAAAAAGGAAATTTGAACGACGTATTAAACACCAGATGGAGGAAGAAAGAGTATTTCTGGAAACTGTTTTGAGACTCTTGGTTAACCTTACACAGCCTGCCTGCCTCTGTTTTAGGGAACAAATTCCTGACGATAAACTAGCTAGGCAGAATTTACTAGAAGTCGAATCATACCTACTCGACTATAAAGAAGTCTGTTCTTTATCTACATCATATAAAAATTAAATTTCTCATTTTAAAGATTTGAATTTAGAAAAGTTAGGCAAACATTTCTGTTAAACCTCCATTTCTGTTATTACTAACAAATTTTAATTTAGAATAAAATAACATTTTATTTCTAACTCTTTCAGTCATTTGTCGATGAGGTCCTATTCTCTATCCTATCAACTGAACTAGGAAATCTGCTGCAAAAGGTTATGCCCAAAATAATTATAATAATAAATTATGACAATAATAATAATAATAATTATTATTATTATAAGGAATGGAGTGATCGTGAGGAGGAGGACAGGATGTTGATAGAAAGAATCGTGCTGCTCGTTCGAAACGTTTTGCTCATTCCTACAGACCTGGAAAAAGAACAGGTTATGATGATGATGTTGCTGGTTATAGTAATGATAATGGTAGTTATGATGGTGGTGATTATAGTAATGATAATGATAGTTATGATGATGATGATATATTTTTCACAGCGTACTGATGATGATGCCAGCATTCATGATCAAATTCTATGGTAGGTACCCAGAATTCTTTAATTTTAAATTTTATTTAATGAATATTTATAGTGAATAAACTAATAATTATGCAAATGATGAATATATTATGTTAATTAGCATGTCACACTCGCTTTTTCACATTTAGGTCTCTGCACTCTGGTGGCTTCATTGATTTGTTGCTATATATAGCCAGCTCTGATGATGAGAGGGCATTAGCACTCCATGTGCTTGAGATCACCTCATTAATATTCATGGAGCAGGTTAGCTAGGGCCTAATTGGTTGTCTCTTAATTGGATCTTAAATTTATAATTAAGTTTAATTTTTTAATTTTTAAAAGACACCAGATCAACTGGCTTCATGTGGAACCTCTAGACCTGCCGATGATAAGGCCAAAGATACTAAGTAACGTAATTTACCAAACATTTTTGTATTAACTACAACAACAATAATAATAAATAATAATAAAAATAATAAAAAAAATAATAACCTACCTCTCAGAGAGCTTGAACTGATGCTGGACAAAGAGCGTCACAGCAGACGAGCGTCCATCTTGAAATGTGGCTCCCGCCATTCCAGATTTGGTGGAACGTTCCAGATGAAAGATTTCAAGTCGATTTCCGACAGGGATGTACTCATACACAGGACTCCCACTCTGACGTTGAAGGCTATAAATAAATCAGGAGCTAAAAATAGATCCGGAAGAGATTTAAATAGGTCTCAAGATTCTATAAATAGGTCAAAGTCTAAAGCCAGAAATGAATATAATGATGAGGAAGAGGATGATGGCGGGGCAGTCGAAGGCGATGATGATGATGACGTCATTAATAATAGTAATAATAACATTGCAAATGAAGAGAATGATAACACGATTAGTGGTGACCGAGAGTTCATTTTCGAGGGAGTTTTCAAGATGAATTTGAGTAAAGGAAAAGTAGGTCGACGAAAGGCTAAAAATAGACGACCAATAGCAGAAGCGGAAGTAGTAAGGAGGTCAACTTTTGTTGTGAGGTCAATGCTGAAGGAATTTTGCGTGCAGTTTCTTGAGAACTGCTACAACCCTCTGATGAGGGTTGTCAAGGTGAGTTACTAATGATGGTTGTGATGGTGCTGTTGGTTGTGATAACGACGATGATGATGATGTCGATGATGATTATCATCACTATCAGGACGCCCTGATAAGGTCAAAGGCCCAAGAAAATGACGAGTCTTATTATTTCAAGGTCATGACCTTTATAATGCATTTCAACAGGAAGTTTGAATTCAAGTCTGCCCTAGTTGGGTTAGCTAGTTATGATGACGACGACGACGATGATGCTGCTGCTGATAATGATGATGATGAGTAACAATTAATAATGGTGTTAATTTCATTTAAAATTCAAGTGAGACCTTGTCCATAACCACCTTCCACTATGTAACGACACAACTGATCAAGTACCATGAGCTGGTCCTCTCTGATAAAAAAGATGCAATCATTTGGTCTAAAAGGTATGCCAGCTTGTATGTATGTGTGTGCATGCGTGTGTGTGTTTGTGTGTGTGTATGTGTTTTTAGGTGTTTGCGTATGTATCAGTCTTATTATATTATGCACCCATTTCAAAGTCTTCTTTTTTGCATAATTTATTCAAACTTTTGAACCAATAAGGATGCACCTGGCGCTCAGGGCCTACAACGAATTGCTACAGTGCATAATGAAGATGGACCAATCAGATGAGAGCTCAGTTAGGGAAAGTTCAAGGGTCATTAAAAGTATGAATACTAATTAGGAAATATTTGCCTTTAATTTTAATTTATAGAATTTGATATATGTAAACGCTTTCATTTTAATTGATTTGGCTGGCTAAGTAGATTGATTGATTGACTGATTGATTGATTGACTGATTGATTGATTGACTGATTGGCAGGTAACATATTCTACACAATGGAGTATAGAGATTTATTCCTGTTACTGTTGAAGAAATATGACGTCACCAAACAGTCAAGGTCACTAGAATTATTTTCATCATCGTCGTCATCGCCACCATTATTATTATTGTTATTATTATTATTATTATTATTGTTATTATCATCGCCATCTGCAGACAATTCCTGCAAGATCTGTTGGAGGCGAATCACGTGTTCGTCCGAATGCTCGAGTTGACCTGCCGGGCAGACCGTCACCTCGTCATCCAGAGGAAGAAGAGGAGGATCAGAAGGAGAAGGAGGAAGAAGAAGAAGGAGACGACGATGGTGGAAAAGGATGAAGGTGACAATGATTATCAGCATCATCATCATTATTATTATCATTATCACATCGTCGCCCCAAGCAGAGCCAGCAAAGTCGACGGCAGAGCAAGCTTGGGATGCCATAAGTAGCAAGCTGTCAGCCATCCTACAAGAAAGAGATGATGACGATGGCGGTAGTCATAGTAATGATGCCGCCAATGATGATGATGATGATGATGATGGTGGTGGTAGTTATGACGTCAGACCTTTCGATGCTGCATCCCATGTTGATGTGGAAAAGCAGAGGTTGGTTGGTTGTTTGGTTGGTTGGTTGGTTGGTTGGTTAGTTGGTTGGTTGGTTAGTTGGTTGGTTGGTTGATTGGTTGGTTGATTGGTTGGTTGGTTGATTGATTGACTTTTTCTCTATTACAGAGTAGACGCTGTGTACAGAGTCCAGGATTTCCTGAGAGCCAACAAGCCAAAACTTGCTTTGAAGCTTTTCAGAGCAGCTAGGTCGGGGTGTATTTCTAAAGCAATCAATCAGTCAATCATTCACTCAATCATTCACTCAATCATTCGGTCAAACAATCAGTGAATGTATCACTCATCCATTCATTCATTCAGTCAGTTTTATCAATCTTACTATCTATCTACATATCTGGTTTTTTTTCAATCACTCTATTCATTCGTTCATTTTTCTGTCTATCAATCAATCAACCAATCAATCAACCAATCAATCAACCAATCAATCAACCAATCAATCAACCAATCAATGAAGAGAGGTGTGGCCAGATAGGATTGAGTTTGGCACTCCTGACCTGTCCCCAGAGGACGAATTCATGGCTCTCAGAGAAATTTGTTTCACTAATTTGCCTGGTGGGCGCTGTTCTCATACTTCACCTAACACACTTGCTGCATTATTTATTATTATTATTCCTATTATTTATTACTATTATTGTTTATTAGTATTATTTATTATCATAATTTAAAAAAAAAACTAGAGAAAGCATTAAATTCAAAATTAAATTTCATCAGAAAATGTCAGAAATTTGCCAGCCGTTATGGGTAAGTTACGTAATGTAGTTGTAGAAATAGTAATAGTGGTAGTAGTAGTAGTAGTAGTAGTAGTGGTTGTAGTAGCAGTAGTGGTAGTAGTAGTTTATTTAAAATTATCTATAAATCCTCGTTTTCTAGGTAGCATTTATACGCTACTCAAAAAATAACATCTCTCTCATTGAAATTATAAAAATTCAAAAGTCGGTGCTGATGATGATGGTGATGGTGATGATGACGATCAGAGTAGCGGTGATGATGACGATGATGAGAGAGGTGATGGTAGTTATGATACGGTCGAACAGGCGTTTTCATTCGCAGAGTTTATAAGCAGGTTGGTGTTTTTTTTTGTAATGTTTGTGGGTGGTTTATTTATTTTACTTATCCATCCATTAATTTTTCGCTCGTTCTTTCATTCATTCTTTAATTCATTCTTCAATTCATTCATTCGTTCGTATGTTTGTCGGCTCAGTGGCATTCGGATTTCTAGATTTCACTCGTTTATCGTGCATTCATTCATTTATCATTCATTCAGTCATTCATTCACTCAGTCAGTCATTCATTCACTCATTCATTCATTCAGATATGCTAGTCCTTTAGTTGTTAAGACCTGCATCACCTTTTTGGAGAGCTTTAAAACCATGTCTCAATCCTCGATTCATTACGCCGTCAAACTCCTGCATAGGATCGGTTTTGGTAGTAGTTGTGGCGGCGCTGATGGTGGTGGTAGTGGTGGTAACGGAGGGGGTGGGGGTTTGGTCGCCCTACTTTTCCAGGCTTCCATTTTTAGTATCTTTAGAGATCTGCTGAATGACTATACGCTTTCCTCTTCTAAGCAGTTCTCGGTTGGTGGCTGGCCGTTGTTGTCGTGGTGTGCGTGTGTGTTTTTTTAAAGTATTTGGTATTATCAAAAAGTTATCACCATCATCTTCATCATTTCGTCATCTCCTTACTGGCCTTACCTCTCAGCGTCGTCTTCACGAGGTATATCTCACTTATCATCATTCTTATCGACATCATTCTAACCAGCATCATCGTTTTCATCATCATCATCATCGTCGTCATCATCATCGTCGTCATCATCTCCAACAACACCATCATCATCAGGAATTAAAATCCTTCGCAATCCACGTGGTGAGGAGGTTCGCCGAGCACCTATCGAAGAATAATAAGATAATCGTTGAGTTATTCTTCTACAAAAGTGTCAAGGATGCTATGGAGCTGACGGAAGGACTCGGTGGAGAAGTTGCTGGGTTATTCATTCATTTTCTTTATTCCTTCATTCACTCACTTATTCTCTCACTCACTCATTCACCCATTCATTCATTCATTCGTTCATTCACTCACTTATTCTCTCACTCACTCATTCATTCATTCGTTCATTCACTCACTTATTCTCTCACTCACTCATTCATTCATTCGTTCATTCACTCACTTATTCTCTCACTCACTCATTCACCCATTCATTCATTCATTCACTCTAACAGCAATTTTGTCAGCTTGAGATCGCAGCATCAGCACGCGAGCAGCTTATGGTCCGACGAAGGCAACGAGGAGTTGAAGGTCCTGTTCGAAGAAATTAAATTTGAAATAGAACAGCAACAGCAGCTGCAACGACAGCAGCTGCAACAGCAACGACAGCAGCTGCGACAGCAACGACAGCAGCTGAAACGACGACAACAACAGCAATTCGACAAACAAGAAGCTGCTGTTGTAGAGAAGAAAATGAATGCCATTGTTGATGATGGTGATGGCAGTGGACATAATAATAATAATAATAATAATAATAATAATAATAATAATAATAATAATAATGGTGGTGGTGATGGTGGTGATGGTGGTGGTGGTGATGATAAAAGAAGGGGAAAAATTACAAAAAGAATTATTAATGATGATGATGATGATGATAGTAATTTTAATGGTGATGATGGTAATGATGGTGGTGATAATAATTATAATAATAATAATAAAATGAAGCGTAAAAACGTACTTGACTCTGATAGCGATGATGATGATAATGATATTAATAAGGTTGATAACAATAATAATAATAATAACAATAATAATAATAATGATGGTGAGGGTGGTGACGGTGTCGGGAGTGGAAAACGTGAGACCACTGATGACAACCGAAAGAATGAACTCGATGACGATAATGCAAACTACAATTACAGCAACGATGATAATATGAATGATGACGACGAAGATGATGCTGACAACAGCAGCGGCCATATCGCTGCAGCGGCTGCTGTGGCTGCGAAGCCAAAAATAGACATAGTAGACATGATAATGTTGAGATTGTCGGATAGGACGAAAACTAGGAGGCAAATCTTGAGACAGTTGGTACATTTAGATCTCATATCTGGTGCTACTGAGGCCAAGAAGATTAGCAGGTTCATTCATTCATTCATCCATTTATTCATCCATTTATTCATTCACTCCTAACCTTAAACCCAAATCATCAGCCATTCAAATCTAAAGTATTTCATTCCCCCTTTTTCTTCAGAGGTCACAGAAGTCATAAAGGTTCGGAAAGGTCAAAGTTCAACGAGGGAACGAGCATTAACAACGAGAGTTCAAGGTCGTCAAGAAGGGGATGGACTGACGGAGAGATGGAGGAGTTGAAAAGAAATGTTGCCCTTCATCTCGAATGCCAAGGTCGAATTTTTTTTGTATTTTTATGTTAATTAATATTATTTTTATGATAATTATAATTGTTATGAATAATTATTTATAAGAGCTAGTTTTATGATTGGCAGACCCACTAGGCGAGATCATGCAGTGCTACAAGGATATGGGTGGGGCTAAAAGTAGAGGAGCGGTCAGGAAAAAAATTCTCGAGCTGCGATTGGTCGAGGACGCTAGCCAATTGAAAAAGAAAAAGAAAGAGAGAGGAAGTAAAAAGAAGGGTAGGGGAACTGTGACGTCATCTGCAGGGAAGATGGGATTGGAAGGTCAGTTGGATGGATGGATTGATTGATTCGTTGATTGATGGATAATTTAAAAAATTGAATGATCTAATGAGTGAGTGAAAGAAAGAAAGATGTACAAATATATGAAGGAATTAATAAACGAATGATTAAACTCTGACCAGAAAATATCATGGAGCATGATTTCGGCAGGTCGTCATCATCATCCTCTTCAGAAAGTGAAAACAACAACGATGACGACGACGACGATGATGAAAGATTTCATATGAGTACAGAATCTGAATCAGACGATGATGATAAAGATGACGATTGCAGGAAGCTTAATCTTAACAAGATCAAGCGTTTAAAGTTGAAGGCTGAAAAAGAAGGTTATAGATTATTATTATTATTATTTTTATTATATTAGAATATTAATATATATATATATATTTATATATTTATTTATTTATTTATTTATTTGTAAAGGTCTTTTATTGGCTATCAACTGGTTGTCAACCAAGCTCATGTCAGTAGCTAGTGATAGAGATTTTGAAGGTGATTATTATAGTAATAATTATTATAAATTAATAATAATAATATTATAACATTAATAATTACGTATTAATATCATAATAACGTTACAGCGTAATTTCAATTACTATTTATAACCTTTTCCAAATTTCAACCAATCAGTTGATGACTTAGCCATACCACTGGTACCAATCATAGAACAGCACGATATTGCTCTAGCCAATAGGAGATTTAGGTCATTACTGAAGGGGTGTGGCCTTAAAGAACCGTCCAATAAACAAGTTGTCTTTTGTTTTATGATTAAATTTTTATGGACTGAGAAAGAAATATCTTAATATAGATGGCAACTAAACATTAGGAGAATGATAATATTTTCATTATTACGAAATATTATAGTTATAATCATAATTATATTTATTATTCTAATCTATTTTTGACCAAGGAAAGGTATTGGAGAATTCCTAATTGGTTGACAGCCAATCAACTACGATCAGCTGTTGACGTATTAAATAAACAAGAAGCCCTGGAAAAACCAGCTGCTACTAAAAATAGCCTTGAAGCTGGCCAATCAGAAGAAGGAAGCAGCGATAGCAACGTTTTCAAGGTTAAGAAGAAGGTCAACGAAACGTTAGTTGAGTTGGCTCGGAAGAGAAAAATGGGATTGAGTGAGAGGAAGAATAAAAGAAGAGCTGTAAGGTTGGTTGAGTTGATTGATTGATTCATTCATTCATTTTTTCAATCATTTATTCTTCTGTACGTTCACTCATTCATTTATTCATTCTGTTGGGATGATTTTTTTTAATTTAAAATTTTTTTTATTGCTTCAGCCTTGGTGACGATAACGAGGGAGGTATGAATGTTAGCAACAACAATATCAACAACAACATTAACAACAACAGCCACAATAATAACGGTGGCGACGGAAGCGGCGATGATAGCGACATCTCTGTAAGCAAATTTTACCAGGCAAGGTCCAATAAGGATAAAACCAATGACAACAACGATGATGACGATGGGGATGATGGCGCAAAACCTCAAAAATCGAAGAAGAGAAAAAGACAAAATGATGATGACGATGATAATGATGATAATAATAATAAAAAAAATAATAATAATCAATCTGATGCGATTGAAACCGACGACGACGACGATGATGATGGTGGTGGTCGTAAAATCAAGATGCCAGCAAATAAAAGAAAATTTATAATTGAGAGTGATGAAGATTGATGATTGATTGATGATTGGTTGGTTGGTTGATTGATTAAACGAATGAATGAATAAACGAACGAATGAATGAGTGGTTGTTTGGTTCGTTTATTTTTGAGTGAAACTTAATTCTTGACATCTTTTCGCCAAGCTCTTCGAATGTTGTAAAAAATTTTCATCCATAGATCGGCTATGGAGTGTTAAAAATGACATTTCATACTCCTACTAGCTAAAAAATTTATTAGGAATTAATTTATTTATCCTTCTTGTTACTTTTGGTTTAAATTTGAAAACTCGACGTCACACTTATCAAACAAAAACTTTTATTATTAATATTAAATAATAATAATAATATAGATATATATAGCAGACGTTGTATAATAATAATTTTTAAGGGCTAAAATTCCATGAAAACGGTCAATCTTGTAACCCCTCAGAATCGTCTTGACAATTATAGTACATAATTGTAAAATAATTTATATATTTCACAAAATTATAATTAAATTATTGAACAATTCACGTATTAGGTTTTTGGTTAGTTTTTGTAATGTCTGCAGCTGTGATAATGTTGATAATTTTGCTCAAGTTTTTGGCAACTCGCTCGGAGGAAGGTACGTTGTGTTTGGTTGGTTATATTATAAAGTTATTTTATTATTATTGTGTGTGTGTAATTTTGATGATGATTTTTAGATCAAATTCTATTTTTATAACAGAAAAATTTTTTCCAATTATCAAACGCAGTTGAAATATTTGAAGGCTAGTTGTTCAGTTCCTTCATGCAGTCATTCACTCGTTCATTCATCTACTCATGCATTCATTCATCGACTCACTCTTTCGTTCAATCGTTCATTCACTTTCTTCATTCCCTCAGACCTGATTATAACGGGCGACGAAGAGATAGTAGCTGTCTATTACAACGGTTCTAAAGTTCCTGATGCGAAGTTACCAAACAGAAAGATATGGAATAAGGTTGACAGAATAGGTAGGTACTCAGCGCCATTTGATATTCTATCCATAACTATAATATAATTTTATTCATAATTACATAATATTATGTTTTTCATAATTATTATATAATAAGGTGGTACAATTTTTGTATCGAGGTATTCCAAAATACACGCCAGCGATAGCTGTGCATTTGATGAACTCTGAAAATGAGGCAAGTATGCTTGGGCAGATGTTGATTGTGTTACTGACTGTATACATATACCCGCTCATAAATTCATTCATTCAATCACTCGTCCATTCATTCATTCAATCACTCGTCCATTCATTTATTCATTCATTCAATCACTCGTCCATTCATTTATTCATTCATTCAATCACTCGTCCATTCACTTATTCATTCACTCATACATTTATTGAATCACAAGGGCAGTATAAAGAATTTTTTGAGACGAAGGGGTATGCTGGCTTACTCCAAAAGTGGGCTTTTCAATACTGACACGTACAGGTCTTCTCGATAGTTCTGATGCTGATGATAGTGATGTTGATAATGATGATAATGATAATGTTTTTGGAGTTTTTGTTGACGGCGATGATGATTAAGATGACGTCGATGATTTTATTATTGAAAAATTAAAGGTGGAAGTGCGTGCAGTCAGTCAGTTCCGCCAGGTGGCATACGGATCACGTGACGAAACACTGGCCCCACCCCTTTGGTGTCAGTCAAAATATTAGAACACTCAACAAGAAACATAACAGGTTTGTCCGATGCTGATCGTTGATTGGCCAGTCGTTTGCCATCCTCGAATCTAATTGGCTGACTCGTTTCTATCCCTGATAGTTGAATTCCTATCGCTGATTTTGATTGGATGGTTTCTGTATATCGTTAAATTTTATTAGTTGTGAAAGTTGTTTTTTTTCTAATTTGTTGGTAGATTGATTGATAATTCGTTTTTGATTGATAGTTTTAACCTTTGAGTCTGTTCGAAAGAATGACTGGATGAATGAATGTTTAAATAAATTAATAAATAAATAAAATTGACACCAGATGGCCAACAAAGGTGGAAGAGATTGGCCAGCAATCTTGGTGGGTCTGGCCCAGTGACTCCAAGTCCAATCAGGTTAAAGAGCCAAGTACTGCATACTGCAGACTGAATTTAGGTAGCTAATGATGATGATGATGGTGGTGGTGGTGATGGTTGTGATAATGATGATGGTGGTGATGGTTGTGAGGATGATGACGACGACGATGATGATGATGTTGTAATGATTCAAATTTATATTTTTACCTTCAGAAAGAATCGACTACCGTAAGTATTCAAAATTGATGATGTCATTGGTGACGTCATTGGTGATTTAACTCTAACTGATTATGCAACTGACGCTGATGATGTTAATTGCTATAAATAATTCTACATTAAATTTATTATAACATTCTCAATCAATCAAGTTTAGTTATTAATATTTACCGACCAATTACAATCGATTTACGAAAAAGCTCATTCATTCTTTCTAATCCTTTCTAACCAATCACATTCGATCAACCATTAAAAATGACAAATCAAAAAACTCGCCAACCAACCACATTAATTCTCCAAAAACAATAACCAATTAAGTACCACCTGTGGACACTTCGGTTCTTGGCCTCAGTCCGCCGGCTTTCGTTTCGGTTGTCTTGGGAGCGCTGAGTTTCTTGTTCTTAGTGCTGTACGCGATTTCTAGGCTGATTTGGACAAGTTAGTTTGTACATTGGTTGATTGATGATTGGGTGATTGATTGGATGATTGAATGTCAGATTTATTAGTTAATTGATTGATCGATTGGTTGGTATTAACTTCTGATTGTCAGTTTTCTAACAAGCAATTTAGACAATCAAACTGAATGTACGCTCCCTACAATAAAAAAGTTGCTGTTATAATGGTTCAATACAATACATAATAGCAGTCGCAATCGTCACTCTATATATCATATGTGATAACATTAATAATAATAATAATAATGTCATTTTATATAGCGCCATGGCAAGCGACTGAGTCGCATTATCATTATTATAACAAGTACACGGTGCATAAATGCACGTGAGTCAAAGCATCACACACTTTTGCGTGTGATAGGCGGGGATCTTTTTGCATTCGAACCCGGACACTGCCAGGCACCTTAGCCATTACACCATCGCGCCGCCCAATAATAACAACAATAATAATAACAACAACAGTAATAATAACAACAATAATAATAATAACGATAACAGATCAAACGGACAAGTCCAAATCGTCGATACCCAAATCCAGTATTTCTAGCGTGGATCCCTTCTAACAACAACAATAATAACAATAATAATAATACATCAATTATAATGGCAATAACGTTATTATTATTGTTATTGATTTATTTCGGTTTTTATCTTTAGTGGTGGCAAGGCAATGGTCTCACCTGGTAAATTGTTTTTTTACATAAATTTTTTTTACATAATTTTTTTTATGTACATGTGTACAATACTAATTACACTATAAGTATGTATGCGCCATATATGTATATATATAATATATATATATATATGTGTTATGCGCCAAACAATTAGACAGCCTAATAAATAGCTAAATAAATTTTGCCGTTTAGTTTGCGCATTTTTTGTTCACTTTTAGTTTTTCTGTTTAAAAAAGCTTTTCGCTTTAGTCAAACATTAAATATTATTGTATTATTAAGATTTTATTTGTGATTTTATTTGATGAGAAGAAGTCTAAAACGTACGTTTTTTCAGTCTTTATAATTGTTTTTGTCTGTTTCGAAATTAGCGACATCGGGGACGTTCCTAGCATTTTAATATGGTTTTACTTTTAGTTTTAGCCACTAATTAATTAAATTAGTCATTAGTGTTAGGAGGGACATCACTGAATTATATAAAAAATTAGAAGATTGGCTAATTTAATTTTTCTATTCATTATTGATTTAAATTTTAATTGTGTGGAATATTTTTTCTCAGTCTTCCATGTTGTTGAGTTCCAAAAATACAAATTTTCAATAGTTTTTTACTAATTGCAGGAAGAATCTAGAATCCAAAAACTAACCTGTTTATCCATTGGGTGATTGACATTTTTCAAAATGCACTCCCCACCTCAGCAACAAGTATTTTTTCCATTCTAATATCTCTATTTCTACTTTTGTCATTGTTTTGTTTTTAATAAATAAATGTATAAATTTGAAATTAATGGATTTGTTTAATAAAGTAAAGCTCTAAAAATAATTCTACACCATTATATTATTTCATCATAATTATAACCATAATTAATAATTACTTTCTATATCGTCATCAGTCTTTCTCGAGGTTAAAGGTCGAAGATGCCCTATCGTATTTGGATAGAGTGAAACAGCAGTTTTGCACACAGCCCCAGGTTTATAACGATTTCTTGGACATTATGAAAGAGTTCAAGTCTCAAACGTAAGTGATGACGGCGACTTGCTATCTACAATATTCTAATGTTTTAATTAAAATTTTTTCATAATCATTCACACTTTGTATCTTATTAATTATAATATCTATGCAGTATCATGATACAGTACAGTACATATATGGGTTTTTTTACTCATAACTGTACATGTTCAGTCAGTATTTTGCCAATATTTTGTCATCTTTATTATTTTTTGTATTCATTTTATTTACACTAACTTTTTCTAAACTTTCACTAATTTTAGCATAGACACCCCTGGTGTGATAGCTAGAGTCTCGCATTTGTTTCACGGACATAAGGATCTAATTGTCGGTTTCAACACGTTCCTACCTCTCGGTTACAAGATTGAACTGAATAAGGCTACTGATACCATTAGCATCTATCAGCCTGAAAGTTCAAGGACTGTTAGTTGATTGGTCGATCCTGATTGGTTGATTGCTGTTGAGTGTACTGATAGGCTGGTTGTTGGAGATTGGTTGGTTGTTTATGGGTGACTGGTGACTATTGGTTGGTGATGATTGGTTGGATGGTGATTGTTGGTTGGTGATGATTGGTTGGCTGGTGAATAAGGGTTGGTGATGATTGGTTGGCTGGTGATTATTGGTTGATGATGATTGGTTGGCTGGTGATTATTGGTTGATGATGATTGGTTGATGATGATGTCAATGATCTTCATCAGAGTGGCATTGGATCTGGGATGAGTCTGTCCTCGTTTGAGTCACTTCATCAACAGCAGCCACAGCTGCAACCGCATTATCAACTACAACAACAACATCATCACCAACAACAACAACAACATCATCACCAACAACAACCACAACAGTCCTACAACAGCAACATCAATGTCCAGCAGCATCAACAACAACAACACCAGAGAATTCGCCAACAACAACAACAGCAATTTGTTACTGCAAGCAATAACTTAGTTGAGACCAACAGCGTTGGCTATCAGTCATTACATCACCCTCATCAACCACAGCCGCAACCACTACACCATCAACTACAACAACAACAACATCATCTACAACAACAACAACATCATCATTATCAGCAAGGATTGCAACAACAACAACAGCACCATCATCATCATCAGCATGACGTCAACATGGATTCCCTGCCTCCGATGATTACTGATAGCGTGACGGGCCAACCTGTTGAGTTCAACCATGCCATTACTTATGTCAACAAAATCAAAGTTTGTTGACTGGTTGATTTGGTTAATTGATTGATTTAGTTTATCGATTGATTTAATTCATTTAGTTGATTTGGTTGATTGATTGTCTGATTGATTGGTTGATTGGTTGATATTGATCAATAGCATAGGTACCAGAACAGACCTGATATTTACAAATCATTTCTTGAGATTCTCCACAACTATCAAAATGAGCAGAGGATTTCTAAAGAGGTATATTCATGTGTGTGTGTGTGTGTGTGTGTGTGTGTGTGTGTGTGTGTGTGTGTGTGTGTGTGTGTGTGTGTGTATTGTCGCCACGACCGACTCGACCACAATTAACCGCACCGCCACAGCCACAAACAACTCCTACTACAACCGACCACAATTCACCACCACCACCACAAACACAGCAGCCAAATGCGGCACTAGCAAACAAGTTGATGGAAGGGGAGGTGTACAAAAATGTGGCGGTCCTCTTCGCCGATCAGCCCGATCTTCTTCAGGAATTCAGTCAGTTCCTTCCTGACGCAAGCGGGGGCGGAACTCAGAACCCTGCCCACACAATTAGCAACAGTGGGATCCTTAATAGTGTCCCTGGTAGTGGCAGCTTTGGCTGCGGATTGCCTGCGAATCAAGGGACTGCTTCTTATATGGTTAGGGGTTAGCTGTGTCTTTCCATTGTTACCCATAGAATCCACGCTAATGAGATTGTGTCAGTGAAATTGTTTAATTGTAATTTTGATGTTTTTCTACCTCGTTTGGACAGCAGCAGCAGCAGCTGCAACAGTACAACAACAGCAGCAACATCAGCAGCAGCAATAGCGCAAACGAATCGGGCCTGCTGAGTCTGTGTAGTTCGACTATCTCAAAAAAATCTTCAGCAGCGGCGGCGGCAACTGCAACGTCTTCAGTGGCCACAGCAGCCGCGAATCAAGCTTCCTTGCCGTCTGCTGTGGCAGCTGCTCCAGCAAACAACAGCAGCAGTTATAATAACAACAACATGTGTGGTAGTAGTAGTAACAATAATGTGAGTGGCAGTAGTGGAACAGTTGCTGGGAGCCGAAAGAAAAGATTTGGTAGTGGCGGGAATTTGTCGAATGCTGTTTCATCAAGGGTTGTTATTATTTGCTGTTGTTGATGTTGTTGTTGATGTTGTTGTTGATGTTGTTGTTGTTAATGTTGTTGTTGATGTTGTTGTTGTTGATGTTGTTGATGTTGCTGTTGTTGATGTTGTTGTTAATGTTGTTGTTGATGTTGTTGTTGATGTTGTTGTTGTTAATGTTGTTGTTGATGTTGTTGTTGTTGATGTTGTTGATGTTGCTGTTGTTGATGTTGTTGTTAATGTTGTTGTTAATGTTGATGTTGTTGATGTTGCTGTTGTTGATGTTGTTGTTAATGTTGTTGTTGATGTTGTTGTTGTTGATGTTGTTGATGTTGCTGTTGTTGTTGATAACTTGTATCACTGTGTGACATTAAGTTTTGAGGCAATCAACTCTAACAACAGCAACACACACGCTCATATGTATGTTACTTTTCAACATTCAGAGATTCAAGTCGGACACTTACAGCAGCAGCAGCAACAACAACAACAACAACAATAGCAGTAGTAATGCTATTAATAACACTAATAATAATAGTAATAATAATAATAATAATAGTAGTAGTAGTGGTACTGCCAGCCAGAAGCACATGTCCGAGTTGAGTAGGTATGGAAGTCTGGGGGATTTTGCATTCTTTGATAAGGTTGGTGATGTTAGTTGTTGTTATTAATGCTATAATTGTTGTTATCAATGTTACAACTGTTGTGTTATAATCGTCGTCGTTGTTATTATCTTTATCAAGTTTTTTATTGAATTTTTTTGGTTTCATCTTCACTCTGCAGTTGTAAGTTTCATAAAACAGCATCACCATCATAACATCATCATCACCATCATAGCATCATCATCATCGTCATAACATCCTCATCATCATTATTAACATCATCATCATCATCGTCATAACATCATCATCATCATAACAGCATCATCATCATTATTAACATCATCATCATCATCGTCATCAGGTTAGAAGTTCTTTAGGCGAGCATATGTATCACGACTTCTTGAAGTGCTTGAAACTCTACAACATACCAGACATGAAGATGTCTTCAGCAGAACTCATGCAAATGATACACCCGTTCTGCCTGTATGTGTTTCTCTCTGCGTGTGTCTTTGTTTGTCTGTGTGTGTGTGTGTGTGTGTGTGTGTGTGTGTGTGTGTGTATGTGTGTGTGTGTGTGTAATTTTTCGTCTGTACTTTTTTCATTTTTTGTTTGTATTTTTTGAATCAATCAATTATTCATTAATCAATCGAACAGACAAACAGAGAAGCGTTTTATCAATTATCTACTCCATCAAACAATCAATCAATCAAACAGACAATCAATCAAACAGACAATCAATCAAACAATCAATCAATCAAACAGACAATCAATCAAACAATCAATCAGTCAAACAATCAATCAATCAAACAAACAATCAATCAAACAATCAATCAAACAATCAATCAGTCAAACAATCAATCAATCAAACAAACAAACAATCAATCAAACAACTACACACCTCTAGAAAGATGCCCGAGTTGAAGAAACGAATGCGAGTGCTGCTGAATCAAAAAGACGAGACACTGCCTTCGTCTTCGTCCTCATCACTCCTTCCAAACAACAGCAACAATAATTATAATAGCAATAATTATAATAATAATTACAACAATGCAAGTGGTAATAGTAATAATTTGGATGGCATTATGGCAAATGGTGGATTTGTAAGGAGTAGGGTTGGAGAGTACGCTGGAGAGATTGGTCAGTTGTGTGGTTGTGTGGTTGGTTGGTTGGTTGGTTTGTTGGTTGTTTGGTCAGTTGTGTGGTTGGTCAGTTGTGTGGTTGGTTGTTTTGTTGGTTGGTTGGTTTGTTGGTTGTTTGGTCAGTTGTGTGGTTGGTTGATTGGTTGGTTGGCTGATCAGTTGTTTGGTTGGTTGGTTGGTCAGTTGTGTGATTGGTTGGTTGTTTGATTGATTTGTCATTGTCAATCACGACCACATCATCATCTTCCTCCTCATCCTCCTCGTCATCATCATCATCATTTTGTAGACTACGCCTCATGCAAAAGGTATGACATCAGCTACTTATCACTGCCAAAGGATCATATACATGCTAGGTGCAGTGGAAGAACTGCCATGTGTTATGAGGTTGGCCGTTGTTTCAATCAGTCATTCACTCATTCATTTATCCATTGATTGATTGATTCATCCATTGATTGGTTCATTCACTCATTTATTCATTCATCCATTGATTGATTGATTCATCCATTCATTCATCCATTCGTCCATTGATTGGTTCATTCACTCATTTATTCATTCATCCATTGATTGATTCATTTATCCATTCACTCAGTCTATCCTCTCACTCTCTCATTCAGGTACTGAACGACACCCACGTATCGTTCCCTTCCTGGTCCGAGGACTCCAGCTCCGTCATCAAGAAGACCATGGCCGAAGAAATGATATTCAGGTGTGAGGAGGAGAGATATCAGGTTGGTTAGGGAGAGGGAGAGAGAGAGAGAGAGATGAATGGATGAATGAATGAAGGAAGGAAGAGAACACACACACGCACACAAACACACACAAACAAACAGTTGGATATAATCCTGGAGAACATGCAGTCGACGCTAGACGTCATGAGATTCGTGCAGTGGAAGATGGAGAATATGACCTGCGACGAAAGGTCAAAGTTCAAACTGGATGCTAACCTCGGTGGCAGGTCGGAGTGCTTGCATAGGAAAACCATCCAAGGGTTAGTTAGTTCATCGAGTCATTCACTCAATCAATCATTCATTCAATCATTCATTCACTCAATCATTCATTCATTCACTCAATCATTCATTCAATCATTCATTCAATCAATCATTCATTCAATCATTAATTCAATCATTCATTCAATCAATCATTCATTCAATCAATCATTCATTCATTCACTTATTCATTTATCCGTTTATTCACTCATTCATTCAAACAGATTATATGGGAATGCGGCCTCGACGATTGTCGAAGCCCTGAGGAACAAGCCGTCAGTGGCCGTGCCCGTCATCATCCGAAGGCTGGAAGATAAGGTGGCTGAGTGGAGAGAGGCTAAGGCTAAAAATTCATTGGTTAGTTAAGTGGTTGGCCTGTTCTCTGATTGGTTGGTTGGTTGGTTGGTCTGGTGTTTGATTGGCTGATAGGTAGATAGTTGGTTCCTTGTGAATACGTTTGATTATTTTGGATTTTCATCGCTCATTCATTCATCATTCCATTCATTGATCTATTCATTCATTCATTCACTCATTCATTCATTCATTCATTCACTCATTCATTCACTCATTCATTCATTCACTCATCCATTCATTCACTCATTCAGGCATGGAACGAACAGAATCAAAAGTATTATTTGAAATCTCTCGACCATGCCGGCCTTAACTTCAAACAACTCGACAGCAAGCTCATCAGGTCGAAGACCCTGTTGTTGGAGATTGAAAATAATTACGAGAAGGTCGGCTGTTTGGTTGGCTGGTTGGCTGACTAATTGGTTGGCTGGTTGGTTGATTGGCTAGTTAGCTGATTGACTGATTGATTGGTTGGTTGATTGGTGGTTGATATATTTGTTAAATACTTCGATTGTAGATAATTTGAGCGGGTGTCCATTGCTTTCATAATTCTTTTAATAATGGCTGACTGTACGGATATATAGTCAACAACAACAACAACAATAATAATAATAATATCATTATCAGGAGGGTACGCCCCCACATTTGACCTTGCCCTACAATAACGAGATGACCTTCGTCAGTGACGCGTTCACCCTGACGATTCACAACGTCAAACGCCAGTCAAACATCCACCACAATGAGAAGAAGAAGATGAAGCAACTGCTGCAGGCCTTCCTGCCGGATTTCTTTGCATTCCCTAGGGAAGCCATGAGCGATGATGAAGGTTGAGATGATGGTGATTGGGATTTTAGACTGCGATTAAGATTCTTGCTAGAATGATTAAGAGGATTGTGGTTTTTTGTTAGGATGATCAAGTGAATTGTGATGGCTATAATCTGGTGATTAAGATGTGATTGATGGCTTGTTGCCTTTAAAACTTAATTAATTCTTATTAAATTTAAGATTTCGCTTTCATCATAACTTTCTCTCTCTTTCTTTTCTCACTCTCTCTCTCTCTCTCTCTCTCTCTCTCTCTCACAAATTCTCTCTCTACACCAGACATAGTCGATGAGAATGCCTCACAGAAAGATTTCAACGGCACAACTGCATCTGAAAAAATCAGTAATAAAAACAACAACAATAACAATAGTAATAATAATAATAATAACAATGTTAACAATAATAACGTTCCAGCCAATGATGACGGGGGATTAAGTTCTGGAGGTTTCAACAAGTTATCCGTATTTGCCTGCTCTACAAAGGTTCCATCTGCTTTGGAAATTTTAATTATATTATTTCAATTATTATTATTGCAGCATACGATGAATGAAAACTTTATTTACATAATATTTTAATTGTTTTATTTCATCTTATGTATTTCGATTTTAGATTTCGATATTTTTAATAAAAGATTATTACTTCAATTATTATTGTTATGAACTGGATTATAATTAATTACCCCTAGAACCAAGACAGCCAATCACGTTCGTTCTTCGTCAACCAGAACTGGTACATATTCATGAGGCTGCATTTCCTACTCTCTGATAGGCTCAGGCAGTTTAGTAGCCACGCCCAGAAGATGGTGAAGGATCGTGAGGTCGAGAATCAGATGCCATTCGTTCAGTCGACTGCCATGTCACTCGGGTTGAGAGGGGCACGTAAGTGGGGCTGTTTGATTAACTGGTCGGTTGATGATTGGTTGACTGACTGGCTGGCTGGTTGGTTGGTTGATTGAGTAGTTGGCTAGTTGATTGATTAATATTTGATTGAAAATGCAACAGCTCCCGATCCAGCTAACAGCTATTCGCAGCTGTTGAAGCTAATAATAAGCTACTTGGATGGGCATATCGAAGCGCCGGCTTATGAAGAGCAACTGAGGGAACTCTTCCTCACCAATGCGTACGTCGCTTTCACTGTCGACAAACTCATTCAGAATATTGTTAGACAGGTTGGTTGATTGGCTGGCTGGCTAGCTGGCTGGTTGATTGGTTGACTGTTGAATGGATCTGGTTGGTTTATTCGTTGATTCATAGAATCATTAACGCAAAAAAAATAAATCCGATTCTAATATTTTTAATTTCAAATTCTGTATACAATGCCCTGGCGACCTCAGTTGCAGCACATAGCTACAGATGAGTTGTGCATCAGACTGGCCGAGCTTTACAACAACGAATCGAAATCAAGTACCAGTCAGGGTGCAGAGTTTGAACTGGCATATCAGAAGAAAGCCGAAAGGCTGTTAGCTGGAGATAATTGTTACAAACTATTTATTGTTAGTTGGTTTAGCGGTTTATGGGTAGCTATATCTGTGTCTTTGATTGGTTCGTCTGACTGTTTCATTGTATTGGACGGCTGAATGATTAAATTGCATCTACGTTACCAATCAATTTTTTTCCACAACCGACAAACTGACTAATCAAATTATTCACAAATCGTCAACCGACCAATCAGAATCGATCAACTGGCGACCTCGAGGTGACCTTTATCCCTCCGAGCTCTAGCCACTCGAATTCACCAGGGGACAGTCAGCAGCCAGAACGAGAAGAAATTTGGATGGACGGAGTGAAAACAATCTTCGCTAGCGACGAGAACAACAGTAATAACAACGATGTTGTTCATTCTGAATTGTCAGCTGACGTTGCAGCTACGCTAACAGCTGTTGTGGTCACTTCAGCTGCCACCGCAGCTACATTAGCTACTGTTGTAGAGTCGGTTCCTGCTGCCAGTCCTGTGCTGAAGAGAGGTCGAAGAAGTCGTTTTAAAGTAACCAGGATAAAGTACGACCATCTGCCGGTTGTTCTCAAGAGGTCTGTCTTGCTCTACTATGCTGCTGTTGCTGGCTGGCTGTAAGAGTGATTGATTGGTTGGTTGGCTGGTTGGTTGGTTGGCTGGTTGGTTGGTTGGCTGGTTGGTTGGTTGATTGATTGATATGATTGATTGATCAACGAATTGAATAAACACACACGTGCACACGCACACAGAAATGTAACAAGAGTATCAAAAATGAGAAGAGTGCTACAAGAAAGGGACGCAAGTTGGCTGCATTCAGATTACAATCTCAAACTCTGTAGCGATGTTGTAAAAGATATGGAAGGTGTCATTGAAATGATGTCAGATGTTGCCACCACTACTACTTCTGCTGCTACTACTACAACTATTGCTACTGCCAGTGTGGCTACTTCAACTGCTACTGCTGGTACTACAGCTACCAGCGATAGTAATAATGCTAATAATGTTTGTAGTAGTAGGAGTGGTAAGAGTAGGATTAAGTTTCTAACCAATACTGATTCCTGTTTTGTAGTTGTTAAGAAAAATCGTAATAGTGGCTGTCCAAGTGTTCTATCTGAAGAAATGGTTTGTGTGTGTGTGTACGTGTGTGTGTGTGTGTGTGTGTGTGTGTGTGTGTGTGTGTGTGTACGTGTGTATGATTGTATGGTTTTGTGTGTCGGAATCTAGATTTTCATGTAGACGTATTTGATTGATTCATTCGTTCATTTGTTTGTGTACTTATTCGTTTTTTCATGCATTCATTCATTCATTTATTCATGCATTCATTTATTCCTTTGTTCATTCATTCATTCATTTGTTCATTCATTTATTCATTCATTGCAGGTGAAGTTGGTGAGGATAAAGAGAATGAAGAGGTTGAAAGCTAACAATATGATCGAAAGGTACCTCATCAAGTCCAAATGCTCTTTCGAATATAATAAGACATTCACAAACAAGGACTGAACGAATGATAAATAGCCGTTATAATTAATGATAATTATTATTTCAATAATAATAATTATTATTTTAATAATAATAATTCTTATTATTATCACCAGTGTTATAATTATTATTTTATTATGGTATTATTAATAATATTATTTGTCATTTTAGTTAGTAGCCAAAGTAGTAGTAGTTGGTGTAATTAACGATCGAAAGTTCAAAGTTTAAACATTCAAATTTCATTTTTTAATATTTTTCATTTAAAAAAAAATGAGAACAAAGTAACTGTTGTTGTTTTTTTTCGGTAGTACCGCCTCTATTCAGTTATATAAAAGAGTCGTTAACAATGGAAACGTAAGATGTACATATGTTTCTCCTTTCTCTCTCTCTCTCTCTCTCTCTCTCTCTCTCTCTCTCTCTCTCTCTCTCTCTCTATCTATCTACTGTGTGTGTGTGTGTGTTTAGTTTATGATCACGCACATCGTCTTAGCGGTTTCTTTTAGAATTGTCCCATTGAACATATGCTTCACACATTTGGCACTCGCTCGGCTTGGAGGGAAAGAAAAGTAGAATAAAAATTAGAGAGAAAGAGAGAGAGAATTAAAGAGAGAAAAAGAGATAGGAAGAATGATTGAACGAAAGAAAAGGACGAATGAACGAATGATGAGTTATCATATACAAACGATATACCGATATGTATGTATAACTAAAAATAGACGTACGTTTGCATATATTCACATTCAAGTTTGTATGTATATGCTTGTATGTATACGTGTGTGTCTGTTTGTGTGTATGTATGTGTGTGCGTGTGTATTTATATGTGTATGTATGTACATATGTATGTATGTATGTGCGTATGTATGTATGTATGTATGTATGTATGTATGTACGTATGTATGTATGTATGTACCGTTAAGCATACAAAACAATACACAAGGGACTCGCTTTAAGAACAGACAGACAGATGTTCATCTATTATTTCGTGATCGCTATTGTGGTGACTAATTTATTGTTAGTATTATTACTACTAGTTGTTGTTGTATTCTCATTATTATTATTGTTGTTGATGTTTTTGTTGTTGTCATTGTTTTCGTCTTTTACAATGAATCAGGTAACGGTTTTCAGTCCAAAAACCTCGCGCCTGTAATTTTAATTATACTACTACTGCAAATATAACTATTAACATTACTACTACTGCTGCTACTACTGCTACTACTGCTGCTACTACTACTGCCGCTGCTGTTGCTATTGCTACAACTACTGCCGCTGCTGTTGCTACTGCTACAACTACTGTTAATTTACACTGAATCGTTTCTAATATTATCGTAATTCATGTTTAAAGTCATCACCATTTCACCATATTCATAATAATAATAACAACAATAATAATAATAAAAATAATCATCATCAGCACCACTACAGTTACAAAAGACGGCGAAGATGACGACGACGATGATGATGATGATGATACCTTAACGTGTGCCAGCCATCCGTTCTATTATAACTAGATGCTCCTTTGTTCATATCAAACAATACCATTGTCTGTCTCCGACTACATACAAACATACAAACAAACATACATACATACATACATACATACATACATAAATACATACATACATACATGCATACATACATACATACATACATACATACATACATACATACATACATACATACATACATACATACATACATACATACATACATACATACATACATACATACATACATACATACATACATACATACATTCATGCATGCATATATACATACAATAATTTTGGTGTCTCCTACATAAGCTTACGATCTGCAAGAGTTGCAGCCTTGCTGTTACGGTAAGCAAAAATTATTATTATTATTATATTATTATTATTTTAAAATTTCTTTAACACCGAGAAAGTCAACAAAAACAACAATAAAAACAAAAAGTAATTGACAGTTTCGTCGTCGTCACCATCTTTCTCATCCACGTCATCTTCATAGCTCTACCTACCTACCTACCTACCTACCTACATCCGGTTCCTGTTGTCCATAGCTGCAACAACAACAACATCATCATCATCATCATCCTATTCATCGTCGTCGTCGTCGTCAACAGCATCAGCAGCAGCAGCATTTCTGCAAGCATTTGCTATGGAAACAAGATCAATATACAACACCGAGACCAAGCAACTAGACCAAGCAACAAGCAACTAGACCAAGCAATAAGAGAAATGACAACATTATCATGAGCCAGCGTGTATAAATACATCCATTTTGCCCTCCATACCACGCAGTTAGACCGATGGAAGCAGACGGTTTTCTGCCGGTTATTTAGTCGGTATGTAGCTGGTTTTAAAACGGTTCTATGGTACCATATCGAGATTATGCCGGTGTATGTATGTATAAAAGTCGTTGTAAAGTTTCGGGCGGTATTATGATGTTATTGCGTTGTTAATTTTCCGGTATTGGGACAGTATTCGACCGGCATGTTGTCGGTTAAAATCGGTTTTTGTGATGATGAAGACGGTACAAAGGGGTACACGCTTTGGAGATGGTGATACTATGGTAAATAAAAGAGGTAGGATGGTATGTTATAAGTTGCTAAAACTTCAAAAATCCGAAACTTCCAGATGAAAAAATTAGAAAAAAATCAGAAAAAACAACGAAAAAACAACAAAAAACAAAGAAAAACGAATGCAACAATAAAAGTAAAATGAAAAATATTAATTTTTATTGGATTTTCCCCCGGTTATTTTAATGTAGCACATCACTCCATCGAATTAAGCTGCTTTTGAAAAAAAGTTTGTATAATTTGTTTGGTCTAATGAATGAATGAATGATTGAATGAATGATTGAATGAATGATTGAATGAATGATTGAATGATTGAATGAATGAGTGAATGAATGAATGAACGAACGAGCGAACAAGAATTCTTATAATTAAACGTATTAATAACTTTCTAGATTGATGGAAGAAAAATGAAAAGAAGATAAAACATCTTCAACGCATTTCTTCAAGAAGATCTACCAACACACTCGTCAATCAACTAACCAATCAACCAACCAAACCAATCAGCAATCAATCAACTAACCAATCAGCAATTAACCAAGCAATCAGCAACCAATCAATCAACTAACCAATCAGCACTAAACTAACCAAATCAACAATCAAATCAACCAACCGAAAAATTCCTGGTAGAAAGAAACCGTTGGCATGGATGATGCTGCATATATACGGAGTTCGATGTTAACATTAAGTAATTTATAAATTATTTATTTATTGAATTATTACATAAATATATAAGTGGCGAACGGATCTGAGTTATATCATGTAAATAAAACTTTAAAATATTTTATTTTAATAATAATTGTTGTTTTTGATGTTTTTATTGTTGATTTTGTTGTTGCTATTACTAAGATGAGTTCAATCCAGTCAGTATAAAATTTAAATCATTTATAAAAATTTTGTCAAAATTATTAACATCGTTACGTCATAAATATTCACATGAATACATCATAATCATCTCACAATTTTGCTTAATTTTATTTTGTAACATAAAATTTGTATTTTTTTTTTCAAATTTTTTTTTACTAAAAGAAAACGAGTTCCTCTAGTCAGCATGTACAAAAGCGTTTTTCTTTTTCTGTTGTTTTACCCATGTATTCATTCATTTGTTCGTTCTTTCGTTCATTCATTCAAACATTCATTCGTTCGTTCATTCAGTCATCTAATAACTTTTTGTCATCATCATTATTCAATCACTTTTCAAGTTTTTAAATTTAGTAATAAATTAACATTTACCAAGAAGCGAATAAATCACGTTCACCTAATCTTAACATCCAGTTACAACTTTTCCAAATTAAATTTATAATTTTCACATTAATTATCATCATAATAATAATAAAAAATATATTTATTATCATTTTAAAATATAAAAAATGAAAGATTCATCATAATTTATTACCATTTTTATGTTACCTCCTGTTTTCATATTGATCTCAGTTATGTAATTATATATTTGAATTTGCGTTTCTGCTATAATTATATATATATAAATATAATTATATTCAATTATGTATATTTTTTTATATAATAGTTATAATTATTATTACTATTATTCTTTTAATTACGTTCATTTTCGTTCATTTTTGAAGGGAGCATAAACATTGACATGAAAAATTACGTAAATATTACGTATATATATATATATATATACAATGTGGTTTTTTTCTAGTTAAAATCAGCACTTCTTATACATTCCAAAATGTTTATAATATATGTATATATATATATATATTACATATATTTATACATATATATTTTATATATATATGTATACAATTATATATATATGTGTGTGTGTAACAAAAGTATGTTATAAACTATTAGATAGTCCACAATGAATTTTGTAACGATAAGTTAATCAGTATAACGTTACTATGAATAATAACAGTTGTCGTAATTATAGTAGATGTAATATTAATAATAATTTATAATAAATTTTCTTTTCGTTTAAATTCTTTTTATTCTTCTGGCCGGACTGTGCAATACATACAGGATGCTTATAAATCCTCCAAAGAGGACGATCAATTTGATGATTATTTATTATTATTAATAATAATTATCCATTTATTATGATTAACCATGATTAATAAATAAAATTGAGATATCTTTACAATGGTTACGGACATTCTGAAAAAATTAAATTTTAATAATTCGCGGTTTCGTTGTATTGGTCAATAAATCGTGCTAGCATACAAGTTCTTTGTCTGCTGTTCAATTTCTTAAACTTCATCATCGTCGTCATTATTTTTACCATCATCACGTAATTGTTTTACAACCAAACTTAGAGATACATAGCTCAGAGATACATAGCTCAGAGATACATAGCTCAGAGATACATAGCTCAGAGATACATAGCTTAAGGATACATAGAGTAGAGATAGAGATACATAATCATCAATGTGTCACTTGTTTGTCAGGTTGTCATTACTATTAGCCTAAAAAATTTTACCTAAAAAGCATCGCTATCAAACATAAATGAATGAATAAATTAAAAACAACGGAACGAATGAATGAATGAACGGATGAATGAATGTTGAATGGATGAATGAATAAACGAACGGAAATGGAACAATTCAAAATTAGGAAGAATGAGTCAACAATGAGATTAAATAAAAACCCGGAGAAACAAACTCAAAAATGTATGTTAAACGTAATACATGCAAATTCTAAAAAGTTAATAAGATGGAAAGAAGGTAATAAACGATAAAGAAGTGAATGAAAAAATGAGTAAACGAACGAATGAACAAGTGTATAAATGAATAAAAAAATATCACACAATCTGTCAATCTCTTTCACTTCCAACGCAACTCTCAAAAATATCACCATGAAAAATGAAATGAGATACACACACACACACAACATGTTAAATGAGATTAAATGGCAGTATTAATTGGTCAATTAAATAACTATTCATGGCACAACATCAAGATTGTCACTGGGCTAAAAATAAACTAATTAATATTCATGAGTTGAGTTAACGATGTAGAAAATATAAACAAACAAACAAACAAACAAACACACACACACACACACACACACACACACACACACACACACACTTGAATAATTAACAGAAATTAATAAATGACACCAAAATATTTGCATAATTTACTACTACATAAGTGCTAGCCAATTAAATATAATAGTGTAGCCTATATTATTATACGTTCATCTAATGCTAATAATTTCTTTAGGAATCATTATTTTACCCTCACATAAACGCAATTAATTATAGTTTAATATGAATAATTATGAAATTATTCCAATAATTATGAGTGATTCTTCAGGCATTCAATGAAATCTCCAGGCTTCATCTTTCCAATGCAAATCTCGTGAATGCATGTGAAGAGAGGAAAGCTGGAATGATGAATCGACCAAATCAATCTCAATCAATCAATCAATCAATCAATCAATCAATCAATCAATCAATCAATCAATCAATCAATCAATCAATCAATCAATCAATCAATCAATCAATCAATCAATCAATCAATCAATCAATCAATCAATCACAAAACTTACTCATGCAGCATATTCTTGCCCTTTAGAAACTTGTAGACTTCAGCTGCAGTGGGCGGCCCTTGCAACTTCTGCCCATTCAATAACTCCTCCTCTAACTCTTCAATAGTCTGAATAATGTCAACAGTATGTTAATGAAGAGGATAATTAATATTCATGACATATTAATGAGCCAGTATTATTTTTATTCATCATATGGTAATTAACTGGTAAGTCAAAATCCTCCGCTAGGATAACTGATGATGATGATATGTGGTCTTATCAGAATCAATCGCATAGCTTCTCAAACAAATTTGGAATCAAATGTACTTCGAGTAATAAAACTGATAATAATAATAAGAAGAAGAAATAATAATAATAATAATAACAAAAACAACAATGTGTCATGTATTGTTTGAATTATGACAGCCTAAACATTACCACTCATTTCAAGAACAATAGCATGACTGATTAGCATAATTTATTTAAAAATAAATTATGCTAATCAAGTATGTATTTCATCCGATGTAATAATAATGGTGGCAAAAACTCAGCATCACCATCATCACAATCGAGAACGAAATGTACATCAGATTTGGCTAAGTGTCATCATCTAAGCACCACTGTTATGAACAACATCATCGATAATTATTTAAATTATGACTACAATTTAAATAATAGCATAAAATATATATCATATAAATAATATATATAATATAAAAGTATTTATAATAGACTAAAAATGGCAATAAATAATAATTAAAAAAGAAAAACAACAACTTTTTGGCCAGCCGACAGCACAAAAGCTTCGGCAACTTTTCTATTTCGGCCGCAGTAACATGTCGTCACAAGGTCTGCAAATCCACAACTCTCCAAGAAGGTCTCCGTCCTCGCCTCTGTCATAATTAACAAGTATTAATAATTATTAATAATTATAATATAATATAAATTAAATAATAACTGTTGCAAGTAAAGATATAAAGGAATAAAGATATGCTAAGTAGATACACATACATACAGAATGTGCAATGCTGTTACTAGAAAAATCAGAGATACCACACATCTGAACTCTCTCTCTCTCTCTCACACACACACACACACACACACACACATACACACAAACTTTTAAAGAACGTGTTACAGAACTGCACAATCTCCAACAATCCCAATCTGATAACAGCTGCCTTTGTGTTTCCACCGCACCCTAATCCATCAACAATACCTGCTCCTACTCCTACTATGTTCTGAAAGAATAAATACGTGAAATAATTACATAATAATGATGATTATGATAGAATATTATAACTATAATTAAAAAAATTCAACTACTAATTTCAAATCTAAATTCAACTATTAACTACTGCTTCAGTGAGACAAGCATCAAATAAAATAAACACTATAACATAATTAACCAAAATAAACTAGGTGCACATTTAATCAATCAAACAACAAATCAATTAATCAGTCAATCAAAACTTAATCAATCAATCAATCCGCCAATCAATCAATCAACCCGCCAATCAATCAATCAACCAGCCAATCAATCAATCAACCAGCCAATCAATCAATCAACCAGCCAATCAATCAATCAACCCGCCAATCAATCAATCAACCCTCCAGACAATCAACCAGCCAATGAAGGAACACCCACCTTCAGAGCACCACATAACTCAACGGTGTCTTCATCTTGTACAACAGCCACTCTAAAATACGGCCTGTGGAAGAGGTCTTTCAGCAGATTGCCCAACACAGCATCATCACAACCTGCCATTTGATGGTTTAGCGTTTTAAATAATTTACTAGTGTAAGGTTATCTGGCAGAATTGATAGCTGCAGTATCTCTACAGATTACAAAAACCAAAAATCAAGCCAGCCATCAACCAGCTAGTTAGCATATAACTCATCCAGACAACCAACTAACTCACCAATAGTTGCCTCACAGAAGAGGCCACTGGCGACCTCCCCAGCGATATTGGCCCCCATCAGAACAGCACACGGAATTTCGAGGTCCCTACGAACGATATTCGATATCAGATCCAAATTTCCTTCATGCATGTCCAAGCCCTTACCAAAAATTATAAATATAAATAAATAAATATAACGAATATAAATAAATAAATAAATATAAATGAAAGCCATACATAGACCACAATGAAAACCAACACTGCTGTAGTGAAAAATAATATACTAACTTTAATTAGTGAAACACATATAGCACTTTTCTTGACCTTCCCTTTCAATGTCTTGCAGATGCTGTACACAAATTGATGAGGTGTCACAAACACAATAACATCAGCATTCTCGACAACATGTAGCAAATCAGGGTCGGCCACCTGGTTGGAAGAAATTTGTCACTAATTTTATTAAGAGCATGATTAGTAAAGTTTTACATGATCAGTTAATTATCTATTCCAATTGTAACCATTACATAAAAATCATATAAACAGCAAACAACTTTTTTCAGATATATTTGCAAAACAAAATCTTAAAAAATCTTTCAAAAAACACATTTGAATCAAAGTAAAACAAATAATCAACATTCAACTAGCCAACCAGATTCAACTTTAAAGTTTAAAACAGCATCAATATTTATTTAAATTAAAACTTTTCAATAACAATATTGTCAGGAATCCTATGTCCAGGCAGATATTTCACATTCTCATGATCAGTGTTGATAATTTCAGTCAACTTTTTTCCATCAATAAGTTCTTCGTACACGTACATTGGGACAGAGTGCTGGAACTTCCCATTGGCCACTACATTCTCCCCAATCACTTTGGCAATTGCCATACCCCTGATTAGTGCATGTGGGTGTTAAAGTGAATACGAACCAGTAGATGAAAAAAGTTTACTTTACTTACTTTACAACATGATTTTACCTTATTTTATTTACAACCATATTTGTAAAATTAACCAATCCACTAATAAGAAACACAAACGAGGCCAATAAATTAATTTACTTATCCTAACAAACACTACTAACTCCTAACGCTAGCTAACCTAACCATAAAATAAAATAAGAAACGACGCAGTTAATAATTGATAAGTAACTTACCAGTTCCCGGAACCCACGATGCAGACTTTCTTGGCCGGCATGTTCACTTTGTTCGTCGGTCGTAATTTAATATAAAATCGCTAAAATCAAATTTCCTAATATTTTAGAATCAAAACAGAAAAAACTCATACACGAGATTGTAAACTTTTGTAATCGATTTTCGTCTTGATTGTAGGTGAAAAGGGGAAATATGGAAAGATTGTTACGCTTTTGAAGATTGATCGTAGACCAATAAACTCTCAACTAGTTAATTACACAAACATTTCATCATACACGAATTTTTCTTAATGAACGACACCTTCAAATATCTAAAGAAAATATTTTTATAAACTCTCAACTTAGCTAAGCTAATTACATGAACGCTTTATAAAAAAATACAACTCAGTTAACAAACTCCAACCGACCAAGGTTTCGTCCCCAAAAATCATTCCTCGCGACGCTTTTTCCAACCCCTGGCAAATGAATGAACAACATTGAAAACGAAAAAGGATCGTTCCAGTATATTTTCTATTACACTTCAGCTTTTCATCATTGGATATTTTTTGATTAGAACTAAATCAGTAAAGATGGAAAGAGCATAGAGGGAAAAACATCTTTCTGCTTGAAACTTTCTGTATAAGAAGCATTCACACTTCTGAAATCTAAACAAAATAATAATAATAATAATGTTTATAACAACGGCCATAATAATAAAAAAATATACTTCATAAATCAAAACCGTCACAAACCGCAATAGATAGTATGCAAAACACATGAAACAAATTTCGACCCTTTCACATGAATCGAAGCACGCTTAATAATAAAAATAATAACTAATTATAACTAATTATTTTAATAATAATAATCTGAAAATCGACCAAGTAATAATATTTATATATATAAAACTTGGAACAGTAGCAAGACAATGTCCAAGACTTTCATTCTCAACAGGGCTCTCAAAAAAAGGGACCACAATATTTATTACAATTAATAATATTAATTATAATTATTAAAATATCAAAAACGTCAATAATAATAACAACAATTATTATTATTATTATAAATAATAATAATAAAAATTTGCATCAAATGCCAAATTGATAGCCAAGTTAAATCAGTAGGCAATCACAAGTAAAATACTAATATTATTATTAATAAAAATAGTATTATTATTGCCTAAGCAGTAATAATAATAATAATTATAATAATAATTAATAATTATATTAATAATAATAAAGTCAGGCTTACTACCAAAAACATTGGATATGGTAATATGCAAAAAAAAAACCCGTTACGAAACATTTGAAAATGTAAAAAACTAGTCCAATTTAATATTAATAATATAAAAAATTCTGAATAAATATAATGAAATAATATAATGAAACATAATTAAAAAAAATATAATTGAATAACAAAATAAACAGCTATTTCCTTAAATTGAATTCAATCAGATGGCCTCCTCTCTGCATATTTCTTCGTATGTTCTTCAGCATTTTTAAGAAATTTTTTCTTATCTTTGGTGTACTCCTCGGCCAGGTCTGCCCTCAGAGGATGTTCCGGTTCGGGCTCGTTCACGAGGGCAGTTAGGGCTTGAATTACTGACGGGGATGAAGATGGCGATGATGAAGATGAGGAGGATGGCGATGATGAAGATGATAATCACAATTTGAAATTTATGAAACATTTAGTAATTTATGAAACATTTAGTACCAAATGATAAATCAAATATTTTGATATAGAAAAAAAAACTTGTATTACAATTCTTACACAAACATTATGACAAAAACCCACATGAACAGACTCTCATAAACTATTTAAAAAAACCATAAAAACAACTACTGAAAAATTCATTAAATCACCACTCCCAACATCTCCAACTCCTCTAATCATATTCCCACAATTTCACTAATATCTCTAATTGGATTCTTAAATTTTCACTAACTAACCCTGATCAGTGCGAGTGGCCGGTTTCCAATTCTCAGAGGAGATGATTGGCAGACATACTTGGCCCTTCTCATCAATGTTTGGATGGTAAATTTTTGTCTGGAAGGTTATCTTCGGTGGTTTGAATGGGTACTCAGCTGGAAAATCTATTCTGACGCGAAATGCTCCTTTGTTGTATGGGACATTTTCCTGAATTTTACCATAATGAAATTGGAGGAGAATGACAGGAAAGATGGAGGTAGTGATTAAAAAGATAAAGAAATGATAATATGGATAAAGATACAACCAAATGTATATGAAAAAAATGAAGCTGGTTGGTTAGTTCAATGACTTATAAACAAACATGAAATGCTTAAGACACTAACTATAAATTTATCAGATTAGTTAAAGTGAAATGATGACACTAAACTTATGATAATCTTGAAAACTGATTGTGAAAATAATAAAAATGAAAATAATAATGAAGGAAAAAAGTTGAAAAAGTTCTCACAGGAACCACTAGTCCAGACCAGACGAGGATGTTCGATTCGTCTACGTGAATATCACGAAAAACCTTCAAATTCAGATTCCTAATGTCTTGCAGCTCCTGTGAAGTGTATATGTGTGTATTTGTATTAAAAATTTATGTATGCAGGATAAATAATTTATAAATAAACAAATAAATTAAATTAAAAATGAATAAACTTACTAAACTAAAAAACCTAGCACTTAGAAAAAGCAATATGGACCTAAAATTCTATCAATTAATACCACAATAGAATAATAAAAAAATCATATTAGAAACTTGAAACAATAACAAATTTTAAATCAGAAATAAAAATTGAAATGTTCAATTCAAATTCAAACAAAATAAAATTAATTTGAATTTATTTTTTATTAGAACATTCAATATTCATCTATTGATGATTATTATACAATGCAGACACTGCAGACAAGACATTACATTATTATAAGTATTTGATAAATTCTATATTTAAACATCACTATTGTTTGGTAACCATGGTTGGAATGAAATGACTGAAAAAATGAAACCAAGCAGACTGACTCAAAGAATAGAAAAAACACCCGTATTCCGTAGTTTAAAATTTACGATTAAATTTTTGAAAAGTAATTTCCGTCGAAATCAATCACAAATTATAATTAAAATCCATTTTTAAAAAGAAATACGAGAAAATAAATCTAAAAGCGAATTTTTATGAAAAATTCCAACCTTAGTTAGTCTTCGAGAGGCAGCCATGTTAGTTGAATGAAATCTCGAAAATCAATTTTTAAATAAGTGATGGCTAGTAACTTTGTTTAGTTCAATTCTCGTTGTACAAAACACGAGTTCCAAAATAAAAAATACAAAAATTAGTGATATAAATTAGTTATGTCAAATAAATATATGAAATGTTAAAATGAAACTAATAAAGTCAAACGGAAAATAAACATTACAGTGTAAAATGACGTCATGAATGGGTTTATTTCAGTTCAAAAACCATTTATTTTACAAAAAGTGCGTAATTTAAAACATTGGGCATTTTTTAAATAACAAACTGACATTTTTTCGACAAACATGAAATTATATC